GACACTCTTGTACGTCACTCTTGTGGGACACTCTTGTAGGACACTCTTGTACGTCACTCTTGTGGGACACTCTTGTAGGACACTCTTGTCGGACACTCTTGTGGGACACTCTTGTGGGACACTCTTGTCGGACACTCTTGTGGGCACTCTTGCGGGACACACTTGTAACTCTTGTAGGACTCTCTTGTGGGACACGGAACACTCTTGTAGGACACACTCTTGTGGGACACTCTTGTAGGACACTCTTGGGAAACAGTCTTGCGGAACACTTTTGTATGTCACTCTCGTGGGACACTCTCTCAGGACACTCTTGTCGGACACTCTTATGGAACAGTCTTGTGGGACACTCTTGTCCGACACTCTTGTGGGACACTCTTGTGGGGCACTCCTGTCGAGCACTCTAGCGGGACAATCTTGTGGGACACTCTTGCAGAACACTCTGGTAAGACACTCTTGCGGGTCACTCTTTTGGGACACTCTTGTATGGCATTCTTGTGGGACACTCTTGCGAAACACACTTGTAGGACACTCTTGTGGGACACTCTTGTGGGACACTCTTGCGGGACACTCTCGTAGGACACTCTTGTCGGACACTCTTGTGGGACACTCTTGTGGCGCACTCTTGTAGGACACTCTTGTCGGACACTCTTGTAGGACACTCTTGTGGGACACTCTTGTCGGACACTCTTGTGGGACACTTTTGTGGCGAATTCTTGTAGGACACTCTTGTCGGATACTCTTGTGGGAGACTTCAAGTCTGCGAAACGAGTTTCATAATTACGAGACTTCCCCAAAATTGATTGGTCAATCCTCCAAAACAAGCGGTTCGCACGAGACTTCCTCAAAAACTCACACGTCGAGTCTGCAAAACGAGCGTTTCGTACGAGACTTCCTCCAAAATTCACGCGTCAATCCAGCGTTTCGCACGAGACTTGATCAAAAACTCACACGTCGAGTCTGCAAAACGAACGTTGCGTACGAGACTTCCTCCAAAAATCACGCGTCTCCAAAACAAGCATTTCGCACGAGACATCCTCCAAAACTCACACGTCAAAGTCTCCAAAACAAGCACTTCGTACGAGACTTCCTCCAAAAGTCAAGCGGGAAGCCCCATCGGAGCACACACATCAAGCAGCCCTGCCAAGCAGTTTCGCGCACAATGCCTGCCCACACGCCAATCCCAATGTCACAGCGACATTCACCTCCACCACAACTCGCAGCCTCACGATTCCCTGCGCCTGCCACGAAACTTTCCTTGTCCACACGTCTAAAGTGCACAAAATACTGCGCCTGCCACGAAATGTAACCTCCGTCACTGCCACGAAAATCGCACGTTCATACCTCAAAGCCCGCACAAAGTACCATATCATGTCAGCTTCAACAAAATTTGCACCACACCACACGTTTGGAATGATTTCGACACGTTCTGAGCACACTCCCATCTACCAAAAAATCGCCATCTTGTCACGAAAACACAGCTTCGATGCAACAGCCTCAAATGCAAATCCCAAAGTCACAGCCACATCCAACACTCCAAAAACGACACCACCCTCCAAACGCCAATCCCAATGTGACTACGCAGAAGACTGCAGATCTCACAAAACGCTGAGCCTGCGCAGTGAAATCATCCTCCACACTTCAACATCTTACGTTTCCACACGATTCCTCGCTATTTCACACGAATCTGACCCATCACGCTTCCATGCAAAACCCTCTCCGAAAGCATTAACGGCAGCGCCTTAAGCGCTCTACTGCAAACGGCTGCGGACGGCTGCGAACGGTTGCGGTCGCTCAGACAACAAGTCGCGAACAAGGCTCTAACCCCAGACCCCCAGAGTCAAACGAGAACCCTTCGCACATTCAGGAATCATCTCAATCTCAACTATTAAATAACGTCCAAAACTTGTCCAAAACGACCCGGTCAGTCCAAAACATCTTCAACTCAGTCCGATCTCCTTCTGTCGCCCGCCTCCAACTCCTGTGAGAGCAGTTTTAATGCGAGCAAAATTTGCTTGATGTCGTGGCAGGACATCTGTGAGAGCACCCGGTCGAAGGCTTCGTCATTGATGTTCCTTCCATTCAGACAAAGAGAGATATTGGATGAAAATTAATGAAGAATCCATTATATTAATTTTCATCCATCATTATCACTTATTCATCGGCAATTTATTCATGTAAAAAGACAAACGTCGGTGACCTTGGTGACCTTCGGAGGGGTTGGACATGTGGAAAAAGTGGCAAAGATGGTGTTTCTCAAGGTAGACCATGGTAGACCCTCCAACCAAACTCTGGTTGGGGGTTCTCGCTGCGTTGTTGTGTTTCGAGACCCCTGCGTCAGTACAAAAAAATGATGGCAAATTGAAAGTTCAAACCGCTTCTCTGACCCACTTACACTCAATTGAACATCACTTGGTAAATCAAATCATATCAACTGGACTCGTATGGGGCCTTATCACCAGGTTAAAAAGAATGGTGCGGCGGAAAACTCGTGCCTTTGTTAAGCAAAGTAAGAGTCCTACAGATTGGTTTGCAGGTCATGCGTGAACATGTGTTGCTCAATGTCAATCATCTACAGTTGGCACATCAGTCCACTAAGTTCGTTCAGTTTCTTGTGGCGTTCACCCATGCGTTCCTTTGGGGAAGAGGGCCCACCCTGGTTCACGAGGTCGTGACGATGATCGTGCGGAAAACGCGGTTTCATGTGGTTCCTTTTTGCGGTCGGACGGACAACCTCCAAGTGTCTGCTGCATGTGCTCGGCGACCTTGCAGAAGCACTCCAAGACCGACGTCGAGCTGGGGATCCGCTGCAAGTTGAGCTTCGCAGACGCCTAAGTATAGGACGATCGATGCGACCAACGCGATCGACGCTTGCTTCGGCACGAAGTGTTTGGGTGTGAAACGATCCGAAAAGCAACGGGTTTTGAGCACACCAAAAGGGTGCCAGATGGTGCCAGTGAATCTCTTTTCTGGAGAGTTCGTATCCTCGTATCCCCAGATGTTGGGATGCTGAGACGGCGCCAATGGCACATCTTTATACATGTTTGATCATTTTTGGGGTTCACGCCTGACATGGCCGCATTGATAGCCAGCAAATGATCCTGGAAAGTATACCCCCCTCAGCGCCCCTGCCTCAAAAAATAACAAAAGAAAATGGCGGCAACTGAGCCAACTGAAGGTGACATAGCCGGGAATCAAACATGACCACAATGCTGAGTAAAAGTGATTTCATTGATTTGACGATAGGCACCAGGACTAACGGGGGCGATGTGTCAAAACCTGCGTTCACAAGAACAAGACTATGTCGACCACTGGACGAAGACTATGTCTCGTCTCCAAATCGGAGATGACTCTAACCTAGTAGCGATGGCCTCCAATCTACTAGCGATGGCTAGCGATGGCCTCCAACCTAGTAGCGATGGCCTCCAACCTAGTAGTAGCCATGGCCTCCAACCTAGTAGTAGCGATGGCCTCCAACCTAATAGCGATGGCCTCCAACCTAGTAGCGATGGCCTCCAACCTAAGAGCGATGGTCTCCAACCTACTTGCGATGGCCGTCCACCTAGAAGTTATGGCCTCGAACCTAGTAGCGAT